GGCAAAACTAAATCTAGACAAATGTATCTTCTAAAATGACTGGGCCTATTTCCGGCTCCTAGGAGGACCCCAGACACATCCTATTTGAAGATTAATTTATTCAGAGACCCGTATTAATTGATGAGCAGGCTGAAATTTCACATGCATTTTCTCAGTTCATTAGAAGTCTATGCAATTGTTTGTCCTCTCTCTCCCCTCAGTAATGATTTCCTGATAGCACTACTTTTGTTTTTCGACACACAGAAATTCATCATGAATTAGAAGTTTCTGTTTCTGAGCACCACCCTTAATCTGAAGAACAATTTTAGAAGAAAACTATCACTTTTAAAACTAACTTCTCCTGCTAATTTGACAAGAATAAAAAATAAGGCCCTGCAAATAGCAAAACCCTCCAAATCGGAGAGTAATTACCTTAAATTAAGTCTTATTTCTGGCTATAAAAAAAAACCCAAACCAAACAACTAAACACCAACCATCCAATTCTAAAAGCATGTTGTGCAGACTGGAAGCATTAGAGTTAAATACTGGCCATTTTATAGTGAAAGGGAAGGAAATAGACAGGAGGAAGGAAGGAAAATGAGATTAGAGAATCTGACAGTTGTAAATAGTCTCAGAGGAGCCACTATGTCCCAAGGCCTCTCGTAAGGGAAGCTTTTACACCAAAGAATCTCATAGCCTGAATGAAGAATGACATCACTTATTTATATAGCCAGAGCTGAGCTGTTTTCTTAAGACATTGAAATAACCTCATGCCACAAGCATTACATTGTTGGCAAAGTGATAAAGATGTCTGTTTAATTTAGGGGCTTGATAACCACAAAATAAATACACTTTTACTCCTTGGTTTGAGAGTATATTTAAATTGCCTGGAAAGCCATGAACAAGAAAGCTTGAGTCTGAAAGTTAGTACTACAAACAGCCTGATGTGTGAGTCTTCAGTAGGGACATGCGTGACTTTGGATCTGTAACTCAGTCAAGGAGCTGGGGCTGCTTCCATTTGAGATTAAAATGATGGTATTACCCGTTACCCTTATGGACACCAAGCCCAGACCAATGTTTCCACATCCTGGTGTTGTACAATCTCTTAAGAAAGGGACAATTTCAATCTTAAATTCTAGTGCCAAAGTGTCATAACAACCCCGCCCTATAACAGTTAGGATCTGAGTAGCCAGTATGTGTCAAAAAAGTGATTCACATCGCACACTGCCTCACATGGGATGGCTAAAATGGGTGTTCATGGCATCAGCGTAAACCAGTCAGCCCCTGGTGGCATCAGGCAGACGCAGGACTGGGATGGATTGCAGCTTTACATACTAAAGTGTTCAAACTGACACCAAGCTGAGTGGTGCGGTTGATACTCTAGAGGGAAGAGATGCCATCCAGAGGGACCTTGACAGACTAGAGACAAAAGCCTGTGTGAACTTAATGAAGTTCAACAAGGCCAAGTGCAAGGTCCTGCACCTGGGCTGAGGCAATCGCAAACATGGGTACAGGCTGGGCAATGAGTGGATTGTGAGTGGCCCTGCAGAGAAGGATTTGGGGGTATTAGTGGATGAAAAACTGAATATGAGTCAGCAATGTGCCCTCGCAGCCCAGAAAGCCAACCGTACCCTGGGCTGCATCAAGAGAAGCGTGGCCAGCAGGGCCAGGGAGGGGATTGTCCCCCTCCGCTCCGCTCTGGGGGGACCCCCCTGCAGTGCCGGGGCCAGCTCGGGGGCCCCCAACAGCACAAGGACACGGAGCTGCTCGAGTGGGGCCAGAGGAGGCCACGAAGATGCTGGGGGGGCTGGAGCAGCTCCCCTGGGGGGCCGAGCTGAGAGACTTGGGGGGGTTCAGCCTGGAGAAGAGAAGGCTCCGGGGGGACCCTGAGAGCAGCCTCCCAGGGCTTAAAGGGGGGACAGGAGAGGGGGGGGACGACTCTGGATCAGGGGGTGGGTGTAGGACAAGAGGGAACGGTTTTAAACTGAAAGAGGGGAGATTTAGATTAGATGTAAGGAAGAAATTCTTTACTGTGAGGATAGTGAGGCACTGGAACAGGTTGCCCAGAAAAGTGGTGGATGTCCCCTCCCTGGAAGTATTCAATTTAGCCATACATTGTGATGTGGTAGAGGTCAGATAATGGTTTAAAGATTGTCTCTGTGTTCCTTATACTTTTATTTCAGAATTAGCAGGGCTTGTGCTGATGAGTTTTACCTCTATTCAGGTTTTACTGATTAGTTTTATTATCCTCTTTTCACAAGAATATCTTGTCCTCCTAAAACAGCAATGAGAGCCTTTAGGATTTAAATAAATAACAAGTTTATGATACAGTGTCAGGAATGGTTAATGGAGACAGAAGAATCAGCATTACTTCCTTCCCTTTGGGCTTCAGGCACAGTATGTTTATTATACTCTAATGAGAATAAAATTAATTTTGGCATCAAAAATTACAGAAATGCACCATATTCCTAATTCAATGAAAAGACAAGAAGGCATCATGAGTCTTGTCCATGAAACACTGCAGCTTGACGTTACAACTCTTCGACGTTCAGTGTAAAAACTGTTCCCACAATTCTGGGAACAGAAGAGAAATGTCGATCCCTTTGTATATAACTGGAAAAAAATTGTGCAGAATTGTCCTTTGATGGCTCTAGGACTGTAAGGGGAGCAGTTGCATTGTTTTGTATAACTGAATAACATCAGCTGTGTTTGTTGCAAGTTCTGCAACTTGTACTGACTTTATTTTAAACTGTGTGTTATTTTAAAGGTGGACTTCCATTACTTGACTATCAAGTTTCAGTTTATTCAAATTTCAGCTTAGAGCTGCACATTATGTTCAATCCAATCTCAAGCTACATATAAATATGTTCTATGTTAATTTAAGGCTTTTGAGCCTGTTTACTATAGAAAAGTTTGTTCTGTGTGCCCATATACTGCACTAATTTGAGTGAAACAAGCTAATTATAAGTTGATGTCATATGGCTAAAAAAATACATGTTTATTCTTTCCGTATTTCACAATGCTGATTTTCTCAACCACATTTGCAGAACACACATATCATGTGTTTTCTGGGCCTAGGGCCTCCCTGGTTGAAGTTATGTTCTGTATTGTTTAATTTATAATTAAAAAGTTGAACCTCACGTAAAATCTTTGAGACCTTGTGGATACCAGCAGGCTGTTTGTGCTGCCTGTAAGTTTTTCTTTCACTGAGTAATAGCAGAATTGCATTTTTATCAGGAAAAAAAAAAAAAAAAAAAAAAAAAAGTAGGCATACTAACTATTTTTTGTGAGTATATTGTAGAGAATGCACCATGGTTTATTGTCTACACAAGGTGGAAATAAGAATGGGGGACAATGAATGTTCAAAGGTGATTTGGAGAAATCATGAATCCTGTCTGAAAAAAGCAACTTAAGTGTTTTTCTGTGGACTACCCATTATGACAGTTGTTCAGTTGCTAACAGGCAGCTGACTCCAGCCAAGTGAAGGTAAATTCAGTGACCTGTTACTACTTATAGTTCAGTAGCACCTAAATTATGTACCATTGTGCTATTTATTGCAAAAATTACAATGAAGACATTCATTCTTGCACGAATAGTTTATAGCCCTGAAGAAAAACTAATGCTTCTGTAAAAGGAGCACACAGCAGGTCCCTGGCCATTATGAAGCCCCTTTGGAGTATTTGTTACTCTGAAAGAACCTGTCCCATATATGTCTTGTGTCCAGTAATGTTTCACTGATGTAAGGGCAATCTATAAAGTCATTCTGTTTTCCTCTTATTATTCCTCTTAATTATTGCCTCTGTGTACCGAATCAAGTGTTTTTCTTTGGAAAGAACTGGAAGCTTATCGATTTGGTGTGAAAGGCAAATTGAAATTTCCTGCAGGCACTCGTTCTCTAAACCCCCAGTTAGAGATGGCATCTCCTCTGTACAGCATGTCCCTTGAGTCATAAATAATGCTTTCAGCAAACACTGATGTAGATTATTACAGCAGTAAGTCGCTCTCTAAATTTCTGTCTTGTTCTAGAGCCCTACAAATCGCTGTAAGTAATATGTACTACTGTGAAACTAAAATCACGTACACCTTTATTAGACTTTTTTTTTTTTTTTTTTTTTTTAAATATAGTGTGAAAAACCCCACAACTCACACCCAAATGCTCTGTTTGAAAAGAGACCGTATGGGGTGTGAGGATGGGGGAGCAGGGGAATGTAGTAGTCTACCACTGTAAAACATCCCACATTTTGATTTTTCTAGCTGTTGCAGAACACTGCTATTTCCCATTCCTCTCCTGATCACGTAAATTGCAAAAGAGGTGGTTGGAGAGGACTGTTTCAGGAGTAAGATTACAGAAGATTAAGTGTATCTGCAGACTGCTCATCTAACCCACTTTTAACCTGTGGTAAGAAACCAGTGAGAAGCAACTATAAACAGGATGGGCGTTGAGAGGACATACAGTAGTGTAAGTGCCTCAGGACCCCCTGTCCCTTGGTATTCTTTTGGAAGCTTTTATAACATACAAAGAACCAATCATTACATTGTAAATCAGAAAGCTGCAAGATTCTGAATGGCAGTTTAACAGCAGGAAACTTTTGCACTTTTGGTAGAAGAGAACTGTGTGGGAGGACTGGGTGTTGTTTTGGAAGAGGATGTCTTTAAGTTGAAACGCTTTGGAGAAAGGTATTACTGGTTCACCTGCAGCAGGCCCTATACTTCTGAACTGCCTGGAATCCAGCGTGAAGTCGCAGATAAAGTGGAGTGAGCCTCTTTCACTGGCTTATCGCAGTCAACATTTTAAAAACAGTATTCCAGTAACTTTATATGTCAGTGAGACCGTGGAATAGCTTTTCACTGGAAGTAGAAATGAGAATATCGAAGTAGTTCTGAGCTTCACATTTGCCCAGGAAGACTTTTTCTGTGAGAAACATCGTGCATAGGAGCAAGAAGTTCCCGGATGGAGTTTCTTTAGAGATGTGTGGGTCATTGACAGAGAATTTAGGACCCTGACACTCTCTACCACAAATTGGAGTCAACACCCTGACTGTTTTGTAATTCAATGGCTTTGCAGCAAATCAGCTTTATACTACAGCTGAAAATCAATGAGTCTTCCTATAATTAATCATTGTTTCTACTTTATTAACAATGTATTTAAAATTAAAAATAACAGACTAAAATTTTTAAAGCAGTATTACTTCTCATACTCTACAAGGAAAAACATTGCATAAATAATTTCTGAGAAAAAAATAAATATGTAATTCTCTCGCTGAAACAATACCTTTTCTCTCTAGGTTCCGGTCCCATATAAAATAATTGCAAAATCTATCAACATCACAAATTTCCATAGCTTATATGATTTCAGCATAAATTCTACATTAAAAATAAGAACAGTGAGGAACTGTCTTTATCCCAAACTGTGCTCATCTGACACTAGGCTTAGCACTTCTACAGGGTATATACAGCATGTGATGATTCACCATCTAATAATACTCTTTAGTGTAAAAATACAAACATTAGTCTGAATGTTTAGAAACTAAGGAAAGTTGCTGTCAAAATAAAGACTTACCAAAGTTGCACATACCAAAGACTTTTATAGAAGAATTAATGACTTTAAAATTAGCAGAGGCTCATTTTCAATGCAGAACCAGCACCTTACTCCCAGAACATGGCTTGCACAGTCTTAGTGCTATGAAGTATGTGGCCAGATAATCCAAACTCTACTGAATAGAAAATGTAAATTCAGATAACTAGGATGATACTAAAGTCAATTTTGTTCTACGAAATAAGGAATAATCAGCATCTTTTATGTTAAAATATGCACATTGTTCGCTGTTTGCAGGATAAACATCAGTGAGGTTATCTGGTTTGAGAGGAGCATCCATTTCATAAATCTGTTCCACTTAGTAGAATTTGTTTAATTGTTTCTAAAACAAATCACTGTCCCTAAAACAAACATGGTTTTAGTTGTCAAATCTCAGTTTTGAACCTGTTGATCCTACAGTTTTTTCATTAAAAGTATGAAATAGATTTGTCAAATTTTTGTTTTGAGAACATAAGAATCATATTTTGATTTTTATGTTTTAGAGGAAACAACTAGGGCATGAGGACATCTGACAGGGTGTTAATTTCTCAACAATTTTACTTCGGTCACCATAACTTGAAATGCTTGCTATCACTAACTTTCTACAACTCATTCAGAGAGTGGCAACTCTCCTGCCGCTTCCCTAATTGCATGCTTGTCCTGCATCATGGCACTTACAAAAATGGGAAAGGGATCTTAATGTTCTTTCCACATAAAGTGAGTAGAATGACTTCTAACAAAGTGTGATTGTCACCGTAACAGCTTCACTTTCCTCTGTCTTCCTACTTGTACAAGTCACACGACCTCACGTACCTCTCCTCTCAGACTGAATTTAGGTGTTGCTACTTCCAGCTTGGTTTATCTCATTCTCTTATCAGACCATAACTGCTATAATCTGATAGATTTTTGATTATGTGAGCCTTTGACCCAGTTTAGCAGAAGGAATTTGAACCCACTGCTGTCAGAACGTCATGCTGTGGCCTGTGAGTGTCATTTGATGTTTTGTAAAATATCCAGAGCTGCTAGGCTGTACCACTCATGGCCACCTTCTAATATGCATTTTCTAACTCATGCTGGTTAGACTTGCTGCTCCTGGCTCTGGAGAGACGGGGCTTCTTGTTCTTCTGAGGCCTGACAATTTCCTTTCCAAAGTCCTTCAGCTCAGACTGGTTGTGGTAGCGAGTGTAGCGCTTGCATTTGCAGGATGTGACGGCTCGGAATTTGTAAGTCCGAGTCTCTCCCTCTGGACAAGCCATCTGGATGCGCTGCGGGCGAGTGTGAGCAGGAATGCAGCGATAATCCAGGGCGTTCTGACGCCACCACTTCCCTCTACCAATAGAGTTGGGAAGGAGGTGTGAGGGGACACACTGACCAGAGCAGACCAGTTCCTTGACAGGTTTGATGCTGCGGCAAGGCCCCTCAGTGACATAGCGGGTTGTTCGCATTTCTCTGCAGCTGAAGTCGGAAGCATCTGCAAACAAAAAACACATCAATTATTATTTTCTTCCCCATCCCTGAGAAAGCACCTTTTTGTTTCTGTAGCAGATCTCTAGCTCTGAATTAGATACAAGCTGGACAGCTTGAATGGCAGATTTTGTGAAGAGTATCTCCAAAGACTCAGTCATGCAGCTTCTGAATATATTTGGCTACTCTAGTTATGACACCCTTGAATAACAATGTACAAATTGATGAATAAAATCCTTCTCTTGCCACTAGGTAAATTCCATGTCAGGCTTGTGCAGGTGGGCAGTGGACCTTCTGAAGTGTAACCCCAGCAGCAGCAGTTACTTCATGGGAAATTTTGATGGGATTCCCCTGACTTCATCTACCTGTGGGCTAAAACTTCCCCCGTTGCTCTAGTTTAACTCAAGAGGTTGGCTCCATATTTAAATTCTTTTGCAGCAAAGAAGGTGTGTCTTAAGTGATATTCAACTAGTACAATGTCTTCCACATTAGGGAAATAGCAGGTAACAACAGTGCTAAGGAATTCCCACTCTTCAGGCATTAGGTTTTCCAAGTTTGCTGCTCTCTCTGAACATCCCACATGTCCCACATAATTTCCTTCAGACAGATAGAGGCATCTTCTGGATGATTAGGACCCTTACAGTGTTTTCTTCAACCCTTTTTTTCAATCGATAGTTATAGGCAAATGAAACATTAGGAAATACAAGATTTTTTAGCATTAAAGGTTTAGAAAAACTTTCCAATTGTAGGAACAGACTTTTTCCAAAAGCATCTCTTTTGCCACATGATATGCTTGGCTGACTGACATGTTTGGAAGACAGAGAATTTGATTTTTTGAAGGTGTTTATCAAAGAACTTCACCTAGATAAACACGTGTTAATGTTCTTCTCCTAGTCAAAAGGATAGTTTCAATACAGGAATGCTACTTGTGGTGGAAATCCTCAAAGGTCAGCTTACAAATAGAAGGCTGTGTCTGTTAGGCCCATTCTCCTTGCTGTGCACAAGGTGGTTACCTCCTTAATACATCAAAAGAGAATTCTGACCCTGAGTCATTAGTGATATAACAACATTTGTACAGACATTTTAATTTTTGTTTTTCCTATGAAGTACAGAAACATGATTTTTAGGGCTCATGTTTATTTTTATCAAAGTAAAGCTAGCAAGATTTAATTTTTTGAAAGTTTTAAGGACTGCATTAATGAAATGAGTCTTTTCATAATGCTGTGACAAAAATTCTGACAACTGAACAATGTGTGCACTTAGTCTAATCCTCCCAAGTTCCCTAAGCATTTAAGAAAACTATGTCTGTCTATGTGAAAAATAATGCTCTGAATTAGGTGTATTGTATCACCATAGCACATAGGTAGATACACATAAATATATGGGCATTTGCCTCAGCTACATAGGTTTATTTTCTGTGCATATATGTCCTGTCCTGTATGTGTGCAGGTTCTATATACTGCAAAATTATTCATGGTCTGGTGCAACATCATCTGTCCTGGGAAGGTCTCACCACTTTGGATCATCATTTTGATTCCTTGTGATAAAGATGTTAAAATAAGTATGCAAGACCATCGCATATCTTGAATAACTGCCCAGTCTCCTCCACTCTCTTAAGCAAATGTCCTTTCCACTTCAAAAAAATATGCACATATCTGTGGGACGGATTCCCTCCCAGTTGATGTCAGAGTAGTAAGAGGCTAAAAAACGAGGGTATTCAGATGTAACAACAAAACCAATCTGCCTTGACCTGGTAGTTAGTGGGGCTACCTGTGAGAAGCAGAGTGCTTCCCCTTTTGGGGATTAAAGACCCTTATAAAGTCAGAGTCTCAAAAATATTACTTTATTCTTTTTTCTTTTAAAATATTACTAACACTATGGTTTTAAACACCCTAACTGACAGCTGCAGCAGAAAAACACAATTCCCTTCCAGTTGTCCCCAGAAAAAGAAGGCTAGCTTAGATTTGCAGTGCACAGTGGTGGAAAAAGTAAGTTTTACTTGTTGCTATGTGCATTTGGTATCCAAATGTGTCAGTCTGGAGGACCCAGTTCACCCTATTTGCCAGTAGAACACTTCTTTAAACCTACCTTTCTCCGTTCAGTGCTAAGCTCTCATCTTCCACCTCTCCTCACAAAGCTTGTGTTTTGCATCATTGCTAATGCTAGACATTCGGCCAAATGCAGTGACAACATAGTATGAAATATGTCAGTGCTGTTAAAGTAGCCAAACTGATTCCAAGATGGCACACCTCTGCAAAATAAAGTCCCCTCCAATTCATTTGGGTGTGAATTCCCCTTGGGAGTGCTCTAACTGTTCATAACAACTTTTTTGTCTGCTGGAATCTGGCTGAAAATCTGGCTGTTGGCAAAGGACAGTGAACGGTACACTTCTCTCATCTAGCGGAATGCAACCTCCACGTGCCGTTTGTGCCATGTGATCTTGGACATTACGAGCGTGACTATTTCTAAATATCAAGAGCGTATATTGTTATCTCCACTGTCAACCCATTTCCCTATCCTAACATCAGAGAGAAAAATGACTTGTGATATTTCCTCACAGTGCTTGCAAGCACAAAACAGAGAAATTTAAGTAATATCTTCGACAGGTTTTATGGAGTTGTGTCTGCAGAGAGCAGCTGGGCAGAATAGGAATGCATATTGTACTACCTAAGGATTGCTCAGTAGATAGACCGCATTTTTCATCAGGAAACTCTGGTATATTCCTTCTAATGTTTACATTGATACCACTTCAACAGTAGATGTAATCCCCTGTCACTTACAGCATTAGGGCCACACTTAAAGGCTTTAATAAATAAACATATATAATAGCAAGTATTATTTTATAAACTGTCTGTTAGGTTCCAAACCAGTAATAATGATATTTTTTCTTACCGTTAGGGTCTGGAGCTTGTTGTATGTGTCTTCCTCCATGCTTTGCCTGGTTCATTGTGTTGTTGTTACTGAAAGTCTGCTCCATCGGTGTTTCTGTATTTTCAGTGATCTCAGGAATTATTTCTGTAGCATCATTTTTAAACATTTGCCACCCTTCCACAGATTGAAATCCAATTTGTATTAAGACACAGACAGAGCACACGGCCCAGGAGATCTGCATGGTGGCAGCTCACAGATTAGCTTTTCAGCACCCTGACAGTCTTGATCCCAGGCAAAGGCACATTATTCCCCTTTTTAAAATCCTTTTTAGAACCAAGCCAGCCAATGACTATACAAAGTGGGAAGGGCCAGATGACAACTCATTCATCTCAGCTTTTGTCAGTGTGAAATAAAATGGGTGTGTGGGGGTGGGTTAGTGACAATATTCTACAACTTCTATGTAAAAACTTGTAAACTTGTCATATGTGCTTCATTTTTGAGCCTGACAACAATGGTGATTGACAAGACTAGGATGAATTGCAACTTAACAAGTCTTTCTGCAGTTTTTTCTAACAACGGTATAATTAAAACCTGCTTCTATCTCCATATTTGAATCTTTGGCTATTGTCTTTTCCAAAGGTTTTTCAGCTTTTATTTTTACTGTTGTTCTTCTTCTCCCACCCTGCCCCCAGTATAAAGTAAGCAAATCTAGAAACTGTAGCTCAGAAGTGAGGCTGTTCAGTCTCTGCAGGCAAATGTTTGGGGGTGGGGGGTGGGGTGGTGGTGGTGTAGCTTTTTTTTTCCATTACAAACCAAGAATCTCTACATTTTGTTTCACAAATGTGCTAGAAGAAACAGGAAAGAGCTTCTTTTCAAAATGAGAAGTCATTTTGTGTAGTTTTCCTTAAAAAATAGGCTACTTGGCATATATTAGTTAGGGTAAACATCTAGGATGTTGTACATCATGTTTTTTGATGTGCTCTTTCTCACATTTTTACCACTTATCAAGAAAAAGCATTTGCATTTGCTTTAAAATCATTGCATACTATCAATTCTGCTGATATTATGCGCAAGTGTTGGATATAGGGCATTTGCTTATTTTAAACACAGGAACACGACCAGGCTGATTTCCATTCATGATGCAGCCAACAAAAAGAGAGAATTGATGACCTTATGTCTAGGGCACTTATTCCTAAAATGTATTCATCTGTCATGTTTTAAAATCTCATCTATGGTATTCTTCTTCCTTGCAAAAATAAGATGATAGTAGTGATAGTTGCATTTCTGTCTCAAGACCACATACACTTCCAAGTTATTTGTAAATGATGTCAGGCTAATTGGAAAGCATCTTAGCTTTCAGTAAGGTTAGATACTACATTGAGGTCATCACAGCTACTGAAAGCAAAATGTTTGCTTAAAGCGGTGGAGTGACACCTATGTGTGTTACTGCCATGTTTGTTGCATACAACTTCATGAAATTATTTCATGTAGAAGAGAATCAAAAATGACTGTCAGACTTTTCCCTACTACTGTAAGACTCATTACCTAAGGCTTTCATTCCGTTGTGAAAATTTCCCTGGCATGGGAAACAGGTGTCACAAAGTTTAAAGTGGAGGTGTATTCTCCCTTGGTGTGACCTTGATGATAAATACTAGATTTAAACAACAGCGATGACCTGAGGACAATTCACCTCTTCAGCCTTACGCATAGACACACACAGCAGATGCACTAGTGGTATTTAGTCTGATGAGCTTTAGCATACCTGCTCTGTACAGCGGTCCTTTTCTAAAATAACTACATCTAAAATATAGTGACATGCTTTCTCTTCTACCCTTTCTTTCTGCCCAAAATTATAGATTAGCATTCTCAGAAGAGCCCTCCTTTCCAAACATCCAAAGTATCTCTAAAAGCAATCATGCATTGTGTTGCATATAACTGTGCCTTTACTGTCTGTTACCCTTCCTCCTTTCCTCCAGCCCACATCTTATGCATCCTACCATCTCAGAAATGACTGTGTTTTTATGGAGGGATACAACATGCTATTTTCTTTTTACAAGACTTTTTTTTTTTTTTTTTCTCCACAGCCACTGAGGATAGCATTCTTTAACACCCACTGTTGTCACATAATTTGCCTCAGATATGCTGATTCCCTTTTCCCTATCATCACGATCATCATCATCAGCACTGATTATTAACTTTCATTAATAACTGCCTCCTTTACTTAAAGCAGTTAATGTTGGTCTCACAAATACAGGAAACCCAAAGACACATCCATTGCAAACATTTTTCCAAGCATAGTTTTTCTCACTTATAAGTAAGTCTATTTTTGGTGTAGAGTTGCAGGTGAAATCTATTCAACAGAAAGGGATACACAACTTCACAGGGGCATCACATGATTACCCACCAAATAAAAAGGATTCTGAAGAAAGGACAGACACCTGTGTGAAAAGCTGTGGCACCACCTTCCTTGCAGATTTTGGTTGGGGGGTTGTTGTTTTTTTTTTCCTCCTTCAAAGAACAGACTAGACTACCATGATTAAGTTATACTTGAAATTGTGTACAGTGATCTCAAGCTCTGCTTTTGGGCCTTATAATACAACTATTTTTTCTTTTCTTTCAAAATATTGATGTGATCTTCTAATGGCCCTCAAAGGAATAAAATGGTGTGGGGTTTCGTTTCGGTTTTTTAGGTGTTGTGTTTTTGTTTGTTTTTTTTTTTTTTTTTTTTTTTAACTGAACAAGTCAGGAAGGATGAGCAGGAAGTAAACAGATTTTTAACGTGGTATTATTTTTGTCTGATAGGAATACCACCCTGTAATGGTATTCACCAATAGTGACTTTGTCCAAAGTGAGATCACAGCTTGTGGCACAATGCAGTACAGCTGAAAAGCAGAATGGGAGAGCAGAACAAAACTACCGGTAATCACTGAACCGTTGCTACCTAGTCACTCCCCTATTTAAATACCTTCAGAATTGTATGTATCTATCAAAGCTCTGTTTCTCTTAATTTTTTTTCATGTACTGTCTGCCTAGGGAATATATCTAAATGCCACCGTCGTCAGTGTAGGACTACTACAGATGAACCACGTTTATAAGAACCATCACATAAAACATAACATTTTTCTTCATGTAGCTTCTCTAAGTACTTAAACAATCCTCTCCATTAACTGTCTTAACATTTATCTGTATTACCCACTGGGAGAAAGAATACAAAAAAATCTACGAAAAAATCAGAAACTACATTTAGCCTCCAGCTTAAAACTTCATGTCCACAAGCTAGGAGAGCAGCCTAATAGAGGCAAGAAAAGAATCTAAATCCTATAGACATTCAGATTCCTTAACTACAAAAACATTCTTCACATCCTGTAGCTGTTTGCCTGCTCACAGTATTTTCTGTAACAAAACAGACATGGTCTGGGCTGCAGCCCCCACAAACAATTGATTTTTGCAGTTAATGAAGCACAGGAAAAAAAAAAAAAAAGGATGTATAGGTGCTTTCAGAATGAACCCTCACCCACCAGGGTGGAACTGAGTTTGGATCCTCTATATTCAGAAATGGGATGCTATTTTCTGAGCTAAGAAAACACCACCCTTAGGCATGCTAAGAAGGAATCAGATATATTAGGGGAGCAGGTGCAAGGAGTAAATTGGCATCATATACTTAGCCAGAATCCATTGCTGCTGCTTTCTGGACTCAGACTTCTGTCCTGATGTGCTTGCATTGCAACGCTGTACTATGAAGGCATGCACCTAAAAGGAGTTTCTGCAATCAGTTCTGTCACTTGTGATTTCTGTTGCTCACTATGCACTCCCCTCTGCCCATACCTGGGCCAAGGTGTGTTCTGTTAGCTATTCGGGCCCTAAGATATACATGTGCAACTCAAGCTTATGCAGACAATGGCTCATAATTTACACACTGCCCAGGAATTCAGTTTCTGACACGTTCAGGACGAACTCGTTTGCTTCTCAAACAGTTCTTTTTCTAAGACGCTGCTAAGCCACCCTTGCCCAAGCAACTTTTCTCTGTCTCATAAGAATTTTCATGAGTCACATACTACCTTGTGAATATATCAGTCTGAATGCTACAGTGTGATCTCCAAGTAGACAAGAATAAATGGAATGTTAGTATTCTCCCACCAGAGACCAGCAAATGCACTGAAAAATCATTCTGGTGGCTTGCCTTTTTCAGTAATAAGATAAGAACACATGAAATTCACACAATAGTATTGTTCAGGGATGGATTGATGACTATCTAGTGCAGAATAACAAGCCTACAGCTCCATCTGGTGAGTCAGCTAGCCAGCGACCATTTTCATACTGGAATGAAAATGAAAGAAACCCAACCCAACGCTTAGTTGATTTCCAGGACTTATTTGCAGAATAGAAGAAATTAACAGGACACTAGTTCTGATGAACGAATCCTTAGAAGATACCTCTCAGACCTGTTCTCAGTTTTACTCATTGGCCAACCCCAGAAAGTAATTTTATAAGAAATCTCTGTGCTATACTAAGTGAGATTACATTCCCTCTGTGCTAAAAACATTATAGTAAACTAACAGAACTGATTTAAAGAAAGGAAAGGAAAAAATCTTGCTTCTAATTCTAACATCAGAGATCTAATTAGTTCAGGACAAGAGAAGACAGCTGAATGAAAACATTTAAATGATGAAAACAAACACTGCAAATACCTTTTCTGCTGCTCTCCTTTGCTGAGCAGGAGGAAGATGTATTTGACACAAGTTTGTTTTTCAACCCAGAGAGCATGTGGTGTTCTTATACACAGTGCTTTTCATCTTCAAAGCCTTTTATGAAGATTAATTATTTCTCACATCAGCAAGAGAGGTAAGCCTGGCATAGTCATGTTGTAGGAGAAAAACGTGTCCAGTACTAACACAGGATCAACATCCAAAAATGTAATTACAATATATCATGGCTGCTAGTCCTGCATTTGGATGCTGTTAAATCTAAGTTTGAAATAACTTCATGAAATACTCACTTGTCAGCAGTGAGGTATCATGGCATTCTTTCATGAAGTATTCTCTGGCAATACCTATGGTTCAGAGTAGCATGCTGGATACAATACTTGTCAACATTGTAGTCTCAGCTGCAGGACCAAAGGATGAAGAAAGCACTCAGAAAACTTTATTTTTGCTTTTAACCTTAATTTTCAGTTAGAAACTTATCTCCTGTGCTTATGCAACTGATGAGAAAGACTTAGTTCAGCATGAGTAGAAGGTGAATTTAGTTTATACGTATATAATTTTATCTATCTGGACTTTCTTGTTTGTTCCTTGCTATAAAATGCTAATAGCTTCTCGCCTCCACTCTTCCCCCCTCTCCAACTTCACTAACTCTTAAGTACAAAAACCCCAAGCTATTGCTTCTTCTTTCACTGTGCTGGATTTGGCATGGTAGATATCTTTGTTCTATGATAGATGCGTATTTTACAGAGACCCCATCCCTTCTCCAAAATGCTATCAACCCAAAAAGTACCGCACTGCTATTCAGGATAAACATATTAATGTAAATTCAGATCACACAATTTTAGCTACAAACAAGAGGTTTCAACTCCAAAAATGTATTGATGATATTTGCAACAAATAGTTGTTTTAAAAAATGTCTTCTTCAATTAGCACGCTCGTCAGGAGCATCTCACAGCCAAGCGCAGGTACGCAGTCATTTCAGAATAAAAAATACTTTCTCATTTTCGTATTATATGGCAATAAAGCTCCCATTCCTGTTTTTATACTATCTTTCCTTTTACAATCAGAAAAATAATTTTAGAAGTATACAGCATATCATTATGGATTAGAGGCATACAAGCTCTGTCTGGCCAGCTAAAATAGACAGAGTAATTTGCACTATTACTGTACTTATACAGCAAGATAAGACTAACAGAGGAAGGGTATGAGCCAATAATGGAGCAGTGGCCTGACATTCTAACTATTTTTAGCCTACTCTAAAAGCAGAGCTAGAAATGGTTTCATTACTGAGTCATCTTTCAGCAACTCGAAGTAGGATCTACTTAGAGCTCAATTTTTAAAATCAATTTATAGCACTGTCTTATTTATTCCTCTCCACCCTCATATTACAAAATGTTTGTTAAATCAGTTGTTAGACTGAGATAAACAGGCCAAAGTACTAAAGTGGTTACCACAAGAAGTGAGCAGTGTCCTATGAATTAAAAGAAAATATTGAATACAAGAACTAATTTCCTTATGTCTTGGTTTGCCAGTATTTTTTTATATCGACAAATACAAAAACATGACCAGAAAATAAAGAGGCTCAATTTTCATAAACCACCCTGGTTTTAATCTGACAACTGTTAGCCTTCTTACAATCTATGGGAGAGTAACACAAATCTAAAGGCTAATGCTCTTAGCTCTGTAGTGGACTGGAATTTTTGACTTCTAAGCAACAGGTCAAAGACAAAGTGCATGCATATCAATCTTCGTATTTCCTTTTTTCCTTGTAGCGCAGATAGGTATTATGAATACATGGTGTGAGACAAGACAGGAAAAAAAAAAAAAAGTCTATGCCCATAGTAAGAATTTTAAATAGAAGGTTTATGAGTGAGACTGCAGTATGAAAAAGTCAGTATAGTAGAAAAGATAAGGTCAGTATTCCTGTTCCCCGAGCTACAGAGCATGAAATTGGTAACTAGGAATTTTGAAGCGATTTGTTTAATACTAATATAATGGGAGAAAGCAAACACATATGTAATTAGCCAATGAAACTGACTCCTGCTCGTTATTACTGAACCATCCTGATTCAAAGCAAGCACTAAATAGTGACAGACTGCAGGAAGGTGGAAGGAAACACTATGTAGTGTTCCTTGGCTGTTCCTTTAAAGGACACCAAAGAGAAAAGGCTACTTGAATTGGCAGTTCCCATCCTGTGCAAGGAAACCGAAATCAGCCTGGTCTTCGATCAGAATCATCATCTCTGGAGTTTAATTTCAAGAAAGTTATCTAGCTCTACAGAACTCCCCCCTGCCCATCCCATCCCCTGAAACCACAAACCCAAACAACAAGAAATAAAAGAATGTACATCCTTTGTGATTTTTGATTAGTGAACTGAATATGCAAAACTAGATTTGGGCTTACATGTGTTACTAATACAACAGTGTTTCTGTTTAAAATAGTGTTAAGGTTCTCAATCTAAAACTACATTAAAGCACATATGAAAAGGGAATACATACATCTCAGGTTCTGTTAGTTTAACCAACAGTTCTGAGTTTGCAGTGGGGGATCCTTTGTGTTAATACAGTGCTGTAACTCACACGTACATATTTACATACTAAGTCAGGTATACTGTAAACAACGCTCCCACTCCCAACACTGCAATGACTCATTTCATCTGTATGTCAAACAGAGTCAAGACAACATTTATTTTAATAGAAATGTTTCCTATTCCACGTGGTACGCAACAATTTTAACTTCTATTTAATGATACCATGCAAGCAATCCAAGGAGTCAATCTGAAAACTGCTTTGTAAGCACACCTGTGCTGCCCTACTGGAAGTAATCTGTGTATATGCTCATTCCATTTTATGATGATAAACAGTGAGAGTACAGAAGGGAGAGAGATACTGTATTTCGATATAAGCCTTGGGAGCCATTATATTCTGATTCTTAGGACTTTATCATACATCTGGCACAAGCACCCCTAAATACAGACATTATTTCTTCCTTCCTCAAGTTTTTTCCTCGACTTTTGCTCCTCAGATTTTTTTCTAGTACGACTTCAAAAGAAAAATAAAAGAGCATTTAATATCAAATTATTTCATGTCAGTCACAACAGCAAGAGGTACAAATATTCTTGGAAACACAGTGTGCATCAAGATTGGGCTCTGAATGGCTTTACTACCACACAGTGTGTATTGCATAAATCCACACTAAACACAACACTGCATACACTTCATTTTACAAGCAAGTGCTTCTGTGCATTTGTATATATGCTTCTCCATTCCTTGAAGCTCCTCAACTTTAGGCACCTGTGAGCATGAAAAGAAGCTTTAGAAAATACAGTACTTCAATTAAGAGTGAGTGAAGATATGTGTTGGGGCTCTCAGAAAATGGTGCTCTGGTGGGATACAAGACAAGAAAAGGCCTAAATGAATCACACTCAATGTCAGTGCAAACCACATATGCTACAGAATCTGCAGGGGGCTCCGAAATACATGTGAAGACGGCTTTTATCCCTGGAGTTACCCCTCTAAAAACACTTCTTTATTGCAACAGCTCCGAACAGTGACACAATTTTGTGCCATCTTGAAAGACAACCCCAGAGTTCAAGAAAGATACTTTCACCGGATGAGAGCAGGAATTCTGTCTCCCTCACATTATGTGATTTAGCTTGGTGATGGGGTTTGGGAATCTTAAAGCATCTAAGATGTCCTCTGGTGGTTTGAGAAACTTCAAAAAATACTATGGTGCTCTGTTCTAGGGCTTCAGTTTGCCCTCCTTCACTAACTGCTCATTGAGCTGGCAAAGCTGTCTTAGAAAGCCATCATTGGGGCCAATTTCTCGCTTCTGCCGGACAGTGCTCAATGCAGACTTGACATCCATGTTCTGGCGAAGCATGAGGTAGGCGATGACCAGTGTAGGAGAACGGCTGTAGCCCTCACGGCAATGCACAAACACTTGTCCTGCAGGGAAGACAGGTCATAATTTGGGTTATACTGGAAGATATGTTTGAAAAGCAAGATGAAACAGCTAGGATATAAAGCGTAATAATGGTAGTCACTAAGCAGCTTGAGAACTGTAAATTCTGCATGCTACAGAAGACATGTAGAACTCAGAAGAAAGGTGCTATCTCTCTGTTAGTAGCTGCACAGTCTGTCATGGATAATGCAGAAAAAAAATGGTTGTATATCAAACATTCACACTAAGACACATTTGCTACTATATTATAAAGAGTCAAACGGTGTCTATTTACTACACCTCTCCAATCATTTGTGGTTTAGAATAAGTCTTGCCCCTAAAGATGACCAGTATCAAAGAGCACAAATAAATGATGTGAAGTTTAAAATACACTGAAGACAGAGAAACATGCTGTTTGTCACATACTGCAGCTCATCAAAGATATCCAGACTTTTTGCTGCATTGCTGCCAATTCCTATGCTAACTTGATGTTGGATCATACCTGGCTACTTCTCTGGCTAATTATGAAGCTACATTAATACTCAAGTAAATGAAACTGATAACTGTGCATCAACAAGAACCAGAAATGTGTAATCACACCTATGCCAGTATGAATAAAATGCTTCCAGCTAACTGAGTAGGAAACTCATTCTATGTATTTGTTGGGTTCTATTGGGTTTGCGTGGAAGTTTTGGTAGTGGGGGAGTCTACAGGGGTGGCTTCTGTGAGAACATGCCAGAAGCTTCCCCCACGTCTGACAGAGCCAGTGCCACCATCTCCAAGACAGATCTGCTGTTGGCCAAAGCTGAGCCCATCAGTGATGGTGGCAGCGCCTCTGTGATAACGTATTTAAGAAGGGAAAAAAACCTGCTGCACAACAGCAGCTGGGGGAGAGGAGTGAGAATATGGGAGAGAAACAACTCTGCAGACACCAAGGTCAGTGAAGGAGGAGAGGGGGGGCATGCTCCAGGCACTGGAGCAGAGATTCCTCTGCAGCCCATGGTAAAGACTACGGTGAGGCAGGTTGTCCCCCTGCAGCCCACTGAGGTTAACCGTGGAGCAGATCTCCACCTGCAGCCCATGGAGGAGCCCACACCAGAGCAGGTGGATGCACCCAAAGGAGGCTGGGACTCCATGGTGAGCCTGTGCTGGAGCAGGCTCCTGGCAGGACCTGTGACCCTGTGCCGAGGAGCTCATTCTGGAGCAGATTTTCTGGCAGGGCTTGTGACCTTGAGGGGGACCCATGCCGGAGCAGTCTGTTCCTGAAGGACTGCATCCTGCGGAAAGACTCATGCTGAAGCAGTTCGTGGAGAACTGCAGCCCATGGGAAGGACACATGCTGGAGAAAGTCGTGGAGGACTGTCTCCCATGGACAGCTTGCCACACTGGAGCAGGGGAAGAGAGTGAGGAGGAGGTAGCAGCAAAGACAATGTGTAATGAACTGACCGCAACCCCCATTCCCCATCCCCTTGTGCCGCTTGAGGGGAGGAGGTAGAGAAAACTGGAAGTGAAGTTGAGCCCAGGAAGAAGGGAGGGGCGGGGGGAAGATGTTTTAAGATTTGGTTTTATTTCTCCTAATCCTACTCTCATTTGATTGGTAATAAATTAATTTCCCCAAGTTGAATCTGTTTTGGCCATGATGGTAATTATTGAGTGATCTCCCTGTCCTCATCTCGACCCATGAGCCTTTCGTCATATTTTTCTCTCTGTCCAGCTGAGGAGGGGGATTGATAGAGCAGCTTGGTGGGTACCTCACCTCCAGCCAGGGTCAACCCACCACATGGGTAAATCCTGTAGGTAGGTATCCAACAATAATAAAGAAGGCCACTCCTCCCTTTGAGAAATCAAACTTGATTATATTGCTTCTCAGCTGCTTCCTCTTTGACCTGTTTTTCCAGACACAAAAATTTTCCCCTTCCCAAATGCAGTGGGAGATATGGCCCTAGGCTGCTCTCCAGAGTGAATTTTTTTAGGAGACAAGAGGACAGATGAACCATACACACACATTTTCATCATAACCACAACTTGCTTTGAACTACAGCAACAGAAAGCCTGTTACCACATTTGCCTTGAGCTGCAGAGGCTTCTCAGTTTAAGGCAAATCAGTATGAAGTTAATACAGGTAAACCAATTCATCCTCAACATTTTTTGAGAGCCCAAGGCATAAATTAGCAAGATTTAGAGATTCTTGATCATATGTGCGGAAGAGAATTGACTTCCTCTCTTCAAATGGTCAGAATTTCTAGCGTTCCTCTGTGAAAAGCGGCGTCTTAAGGGCTGCCTTCCAGACTGTTAGTATACCAGATCTGCTTACAACATTAAAACAAAATTGAAGGAAAACAATACTGCATCCCTCTTCATTGTCCTTACTCTACACTTCAATGTCAAACAAAACTATAAAATTTCAGTAGTGAGTTAAGCTTAAAACTGGTTCCAGCATCACCCAGCCACAAAGTACTTCTCTGTTTACCACAGTAAGAAAACAGTGGCAGGCATGGTAGACAACTGCTAAGACTGAAAGACTCAGTAAATAGAACTGTTACTGTAAATTCAGATTGCCTCTGAAACTGTTTAGATCAAAGTGAATAGAGATAGTCACGGCACAGCTGACACTGTAAAACTCTTCCTTCCTCCTGCAACCTGTTTTAGTGAGTCATAATGCTAACTGGAAGAGTCGCATTTCAATTTTTAGAATTTGTCACATTCCACCAAATTAGAGGTAAAATTTCTTTCCATCTGTCAAAAGAACAACACAGCTGTAGTACCCCTTTTGCCCACTTTAGAGAAGGAACTTCTAGAATGGTGGGAGTTCTTGTTCCTCCTTTTTCATGTTCAGTCATGAAGCAAGAGAAAAATTAAACTTGTAGAAATAACTGGTATGCTGAAACAGTAAGACAACAAACACTGTCTGGCCCACTGCACTATGCCCTAGGACTGCTGTTCTGAGGAAGCACACTGTAGAGAAATGTGGCAATCAACACGATTGCAAATATCATCTCCGGCCTTCCTGCAATCCTAGGGAAAAAGCAGATAATCATCACATAAAATATTGTAATGGCAATGTAATAAAAACCGTAAGGCTACAGTCTCTATCCTTACTGTACATTTGGAAAAAAAACATACAGCAAGTTTTGTGAGTATTCTTCAGCAATGCATTACTTTTATCGCTTCTGCCTTTAATTCATAATTTCTGGTGTGTGTGGCAGGTGAGCCTAATGTGATGAAAATGGGCCTTCCTGGCTGATGAAGTATAGTGGCCATTGATTTATTTTTTTTGTGCCCTTGTTCTCAGGGTTTTACAGTAATTGGAGCCCCCCCCCCCACTTTTAGATCCTGAGCTTATTTGTTTTTATTTTTTAATGTGATTTACCACTTCTAAAGAAAAATAAGAACACACCTTCCCAAAAAGGCACTATTATAGGATGCAGCAGCTGTTTCACTTTTCAAAACCACCCCTACAGTGACAGACTTCCATTTGCCATATACTGGAGAACTACATGCATAAACAGAAGATTAAGATGTCTTATTGTGTATTCTGGTGTCTTGGATCCAAAGCCTCTACCTGAATTCCTGACTTGGTTGTTCCGCTGATAATCTGAGCAAAGACTCATTTTAAACTGTAAAATAAATTGCTAAGAAACATATGCAGTGCATAGAAAACATGGTAGAAAGATATTTCAGTTTGCCTTACCATCCTTCTGGGAAAGTGCTTTCTCAATAAAATCAGCTGCCTCCTCAAAATAGCGACTGAGGTTAAATTCTTGTGTATCATTAGCTTTAATGCCATGGTATCTGATGCCTGTTCCTTCATAGAACTCTGCATTAGTGTTCACATGCATGAATGATTTCCCTTCTGCTGCATTCAGAACATGGGTTATCCCCAGACGCTGCAGCTTCATAATGTTCTTGGCTATGAACCTGTATGATAAAAAGTGTCAAGAAAACGATTAGAACTTGGTGAATCATCTCTGCATTTATCATAGAATCATAGAATGGTTTGGGTTGGAAGGGTCCTTAAAGATCATCTAGTTCCACTGCCCCTGCCATGGGCAGGGACACCTTTCAATAGACCGTTTGCTCAAAGTCCCATCTAACCTGGCCTTGGACACTTCCCGGGAGGGGGCAGCCACCACTCCTCTGGCCAGCCCGTTCCAGTGCCTCACCACCCTCACAGTGAAGAAGGTCTTCCTTACATCTAATCTAAATCGACCCTCTTTCAGTTTAAAGCCATTACTCCTTGTCCTATCACTACACGCTGTTGTAAAAAGTCCCTCACCAGCTTTCTTGTAGGTCCACTCTAGGTACTGGAAGGTTGCTGTAAGGTCTCCCTGGAGTCTTCTCCTGGCTGAACAACCCCAACTCTATCAGTCTGTCTTCATAGCAGAGGTACTCCATCCCTCTGATCATCTTTGTGGCCTTCCTCTGGACCTGCTTGAGGAGGTCTATGTCCTTCTTATGTTGGGGCCCCAGAGCTGAATGCAGTACTCCAGGTGGGGTTTCATGAGAGCAGAATAGAGGAGGTGAATCACCTCCCTCGACCTGCTAGCCTCACTCCTTTTGATGCAGCCCAGGATACGGCTGGCTTTCTGGGCTGCAAACACACATTGGCGAGGCACGCTGAGCTTCTCATCAACCACCGCCTCCAAGTCCTTCTCCTCAGGGCTGTACTCAATCCATTCTTCACCCATCCTGTATTTGTGCTTGGGATTGCCCCAACCCATGTGCAGGACCTTGCACTTGGCTTTGCTGAACTTCATGAGGCTCGCACAGGCCTACCTCTCAAGCCTGTCCAGCTCCCTCTGAATAGCATCCCTTCTCTCCAGCGTGTCAACCGCACCACACAGCCTGGTATTATCAGCAAACTTGCTGAGGGTGCACTCAATCCCACTCGCCATGTTGATGACAAAGACGTTAAACAGTGCCAGTCCCAATACTGACCCCTGAGGAATGCCACATGTTACTGGTCTCCAGAAGGTATCGATAGCCAAAACCTTTTATTTTTCTGCTCACAGATACAAAATATACTGTGCCCAGAAGTAAATTAGCTACAGATTATAAATTTACAGAAATGATTGGAGCCATGGTCACTGCTTGTGCATGAGAGAACACTACTTTCTTAGCTGACAATCAAGCAGAGCACACATGAAACATAATCTGTTAGACCCTACCATAGCATGAAACTATCACTCTTTCTAAACATAAAATTCTGACCAAAGTTAGAAAATACTGGAGATAACAGAAAGCCCAGGATAGTCACTTCTACGACTAACCGGTATCTACATAAGGTAATTTTAAAAACAGTTATAAAACACCTCTGTCAGCTGCCAGTGTTGCAGGGCTAGGTAAGCAGTACTTGCTATTCTAGCAGACAATCCAAACAGACATTTTAGGGGGCAATTTCAACCACTGTGAAACACCACTATCTCCTTCTTGGGCCACAGGAAGACAGAAAGTAACTATGAGTAAATGCTCCTGCATCTTCAAAGGTCTCATCTGAAGACTCCTATGAGGTATAGTCCTCTGTCCCGGTGCTATCCAGCATCTCTGAAATCATGGAAAGATCTGGCAAGGCTATCCAAAGGCCAGCAATATAGCGATAAAATTCAGTCTTTGCCACTCAATGTTTTCAACACAAATATTATAATCTTTAGTGTCTTAGCTGAAATCAATATCTGAATGGAAAAGAATCCAGATGAGTGACGTTTAAGATGCTTAAGTGCTTAAGAAAGCATTCATTACTTTTAGGTCAGCTAAGCTCTTTCCAACGCCTCAGTTCTATCAAATCTTTGTAGCAAAACCACCTGCTTTCATCAAAGTGGGTAATAGAGCACCCTACCCTATTAGTGAACCACCAAGCAGGATGATACATAATAATCATGACTTTCAGGCTTGATGATGACAATGAATTAGATCCAGTAATAATGCTATAGGCCCTGATAAAAGCTACAGGTTGTACAATGGCAAACAGTCCATCTGCTTAGTAACACAACTGATCATGCACAAATCTCTACTTGCGCACTAGAACACAATCTATATCGTAGGAGGAGATAACCATTAAATAATATGAGGAGACCCCTGATTCCTTTTTGTTATAAAACCACTGCTCTTCATTCTGAGTCTCATTATTTCTGTACGTCAGTACCAATATTTGCCTCGCTTTCCCGCGAAGAAAAAAACCTGTATGTTTTAATCACACCGTGTGGTCTCCTAGTAAAAGCTGAGCCCACTAGTCAGCGTTAGCAGAACGTGACAGAAGGCTTTAGTTGAAAGGTAACTCAGTTCCTGCACACTTTGTGAAGAGGTAGCCTAAGCAGACATAAATCCCTTTATTGATTTTAAAGGCAGCTTTCACTGTGTGTCTAACTGGATGTGGAAACAGAAATCTTTTATAAAACCTCCCTACAACTCAAGTCATAACTTACAAATACAAGGAGTCTTAATATTAAGCTCAGCTCCAGATAAGTATTTGTGCAGTATCTTTTAGGACAAGTTCCTAAGGGATGACAATGCATCTAAGGGTTTTGGCTGGACGCTTAGCTATTCTAAAGGAGTTAAAATAAATACCCAAATTTGTTGGTTTATATCTATATGAATCTCTGAGTTTATTCACTCAAAACTTTGAGGTAATTCAAGGCCATATGACCATCTAGAGCATTCCTTTTCTCCTAATGACTGTTCACCCCTTAAACTGTAGTGTAAGCAGATGAATCCTTATGCGTGAGTGAAGCTTCTGCATTTTCTACTGTCTGGGCCAAACAACTATGGCAATGAGCCAAATATTTGCAAAGATTTCATTACCCAAACAAATGTTGACAGATTTTCCATCTGGCAGGACATCATCTGTGCCAGGGGACAAGTATCAGTGCCTGGGGAATTCTGCTTGCAACACAAAACTAAATCCTACAGTGCAAGGCCAAAACAAAAAGTGTTAATTCAGCTGTGAATTCTTATGCTTAGCAGGGTGAGTATGGGGTTTAAGCAACAGTCTATAGATCAGTATATATTTGATAGTGGCCAGGATCAATAGGAACTCGTGTCCTGGAATCATGGTTGAATCTAGGCATCACAGACTGGCTCCCCTGAAGGAAAACTCATTCCTGGTGATTTTTGTACATTTCATAGATTATTTTCTTACACAACTAGAGGTGGAAAAGAGAGTATGTGTATGCCATTTTTTATTTCTTTCCCAAACAGTCGTTGGATCTCTCCCATCATTAACATTTCATTCCAGCTGCATAATGTTCAATGTTGAAACGCTAGCTGCTCCAAACGGCAGAGAGACATTAGCATCAGCTTTTTCTATTTCCCTAAGAAAAATCACACCATCTTGTCTGTTCTCAGTATGGAAAATTGAGAGTTCCTCATCCCGTGAGTAACACTAGTAAGAAGTGTTTCTTCTGAACAGAGATGAACAATTTTACCAGCCATATAACAGGGATCTTCGAGAACCACGCATCAGCATTTAAGCGTACATCAGGCTATAAAGTATTGCCATATGGGATTATAGCAAATAAACCAAGTCTTAATGGCAAAAATTAAAACATTTTAATTTCCACTGTTATGCACATGCAAAATTGTTTCCTTACCATGTCTTCCCTTACAATCACTGAATTTAATACTAACTTTGGGAAAATGCTTTTCATACTTCTTACAACACACTTGCACTTCTAGCACATTAAGAACAAAGAACTGCTTCTTGGGTTACCTGCACACATTAAAGTAGACAGAAAACTGAGACCGGAACCTTTTTACCAAATACAGTTCTGGTGACACAGCCGGAATTGTTACAGGCTTCCAATAGGCTGTAAAAACACCCCACAAACAGATTCCCTTAGCCAGTAACTCAGAAATTTAAGCCTGCTTGCTTTCTGGCAAAACACTGCTTTTGACAAGACACAGTTCCTCTGAATAAAAACCCTCCAGTGTGTTGACTGCTCCCCTCCAGTTTGGTGTCATCTGCAACCCTAATAAAGATGCATTCTGTCCAACTGTCTGGTCACTGATTAAGATGTTACACTAAAACACATCTTGATTTGTTCAGAAATAGAAAATTATTTGTAGTTCCAGAGTCTGCAGAATTCTTATTTTGTTATTGCTTGAAAAAATATATAATTGTGCTAGTATGTCACCTATATATTCATTCTTGATTTAGTAATATTACATTTTTACTCGTCTTCACAAATCTTGTCTAATCTTCTTAAGAGGTTAGAACTGTCTCCTGTAATATGCAAAACCATTATCTAAAAAATATTTTATCATTTTACCTCTGTAAATTATGACTTTCATGTATTTCATGAAAGATCTAGTACTTTGACTCAGACTGTAACTTGAAGTCATTTGACAGATAAATTGTTATTCCACGCTATGACCCAATTTAATCTAATCCCTCTACATGTCTGTGAGTTGTCATTTTTATCTAAAGATTATGGAGTGACAGCAGCACCCCTATGCAAAATATCCTAAAAGGTTTCCAACAGAAGTTTCTGAATCTCACTCATTTTTTCCTGTGAGTTCCTATTAAAATTCTATTGCTTTTCTGCCACATATTGAGATTCCAGTCCCCCCATGTTAAAACTCTAGAGATGTGGCCACTCTGTGAATTCTTACTGCTATAAAACCTCTGCCACTTGTAGTCACAAATATGGCCCTATATTGTAGAAAGGTTTGATCCTTCCAAGTCAAAGCAGAGATCTGAATGACAGATCAAATGACTGTTAGTTCTCCTGCTATATTGGTTTCTCAGACTTCCCCGGGGCCCAATGCAAAAGTGGTTCCAACAACTCCTCAGAGGTTCAGTAAGTAGATTTGTGCAACTGAGGCCAACACCGAGATATGAGGTGAGCACCAATCAGATGCACTGCACTGCACCGAGACGGCTTCAAATATGAGACATATCACAAGCTGATGACAAGACAGGCTGATGAACTGCAAATACAGGCCCCAAACAAAGCTATGGCTTATTTCTTGCACACAGTAGTAGAATCTTTATTGATGCCTTGCACACTATTGGACCCATGTATGTACAAAGCCTGAGAGGCTGAATGCAAAGGAGGTTCATTTCCCCAGCAGTTCACAGGAGAAGCAGTCAAGTCAGAAAACCAGATCTCTCTTCAGCCTTATCTTTAAACAAGGAGAGTACAAGAGAGGGATATGTAGCTGGAAATGGCATGAGAACAGATATGCAGTTTCAAATTCTTCCAGAATGACAACTAATATAGCAAATGCTACTTACGATGCAGTATACTACAATACCATTTGATAAAAAAATCCTCGTCAGAATTAGTATTATTTCCAGTTTGAGAATATCAAAGTTCACCCTGCAGTGACTGAATCTTAGGAGACATTCATACATTCAACTAGATCTCAGCATTATTTTAACTCTCTGTGGATGCTTCAAAGATATTATTGACTACTGAGTCTTGATAAATTAAGTAGGTTGTCTATTCCCACTGTGAAACAGCTTTTTCAGACTGCAAAATTATTTCCTACCTGTAGCTGCCCTCCACAAATTTTGAGCATTCTTTTCAAAACACCGGGAGCAGTATCGCATGTTGGCCGTTAGTCCAACTAACAGTTAAACTGTTCTTATGCTACAAACTACATTGGTGACTCAGATATTTTCAGTTGTCAATTATTACATAAAAAGCCCTTCTTGGTGGTAAAGGTTTCCACTGGACATTTTCCATCCTGCAACTACACATGCATTCTCTGTACGTAGACAACTTTGCATCTGAACATCTTAAAGTCCATACTGTATAATTAAAATCAATTACTGAACAATGAAAACTACTCTGTAGTAGCCAACTATCTTCAAAGTTAATTTTTAATTATTTATGGCACAAATCACCTTGCAGGCTGACTTAATTTCTTCCAGGTAACTGCTAAAAATATGAAGAAGGTGGCTGTCAGATTGGCCACTGAGATAATAATTTCAGTCCTATTTCTAGATGCGCATGTCCTGCATCAACTGGCAGTGACAAACATAATTTGGTTTGTCTTAGAAGAATGTTAATGAAAACCTATGGGTTTGACTTCTGTTTCTTTAGGAGTTACGAGCTTACAGTAAGGGCAGGGATCCAGTGTACTACAAACGTATCCAAAAGTCCCCAGTTTCACAGAGGTAAAGTGTACAAAGATGACAAAACAGGGAAAGAAAATCAGCAGAATATAATAGGATTGGAACAGGTAACTGAGATCATAATCTTGGTGCAAAGAATAAACATCACACAACTGAGAAATTAAGTGCTATTTGTGAACCCTGAATGCTTTACCCCATTTAAGGGCTTTCATCAGTCATACCTGTATTGCTTTGGCTCCCATCATGTGCGTGAACACTTAATCGGGATGAGGTTTCTTAGGGCTTAGAGGGCAGAACATTAATTTGACCAATCACAGACAGGGGTGGTGTCCTTTAGGTCATTTTGCACATGGTTAAATGAGATCTAATATCCATATTGCTACTTTGCCCATTCTTCAGGTTCCACCTTATTCCACTCATCTGACATACGGTTATTACACTGGTGTTGTGAGTGGGCTTCCGCAGATGATATTGTAAATATACCTCATGGCATACTGTCTCTCCTCCCTCTTCTGTGGGGATGGCCACAACTTGTTAGCAAGAGCAGGAAATATCAGGAGAAAAAAAAAAGCCCAGCACTGACAAAACTGAGCAAGCGTGCCTCATTCTTAAGCAACCTAATTAGTTTTAGCCTTGTTTCAGCTTTATTTTAGCTTGGATTTGAGACTTCAACAGGGTACTGAACATTTGAGCAGATATCATTTATGAGCTGCGTGTTGTCATTTGCCATGTCAGGCACCAGCAGGAACCCCAGGTTGTCTGCTGCCAGGCTGCTCGGGCCTTGCAGCCACAGGCCTTCCGGCTGACAGTTCCCTTAAATTCGAGCCCCTCGGGCTGCACAGCCCGGGCCAGGCTCCGGAGGGCCTTCCGGGGCCCACTAGCTCTGCCAGATTCCGCCCTGCATCCCGACTTCCTCCGGCTCATTCAGGTGGCTATGCGTCCCACAACCCTACAGGGCCTACCCCAACCTCTGCCCTCAAGTGCCTGCAAGAACACGGTTCCCAGGCTTAGCAACGCAGGCCCCCCGCCGGCCCCGCGGCAGGCCTCGCCTCTCTCCTGCCGCCCGCCTCAGCCTCGGCCCCGGCCCGGCGCACTCACGCGTTCCCCACGTGGATGCGCGGCACCACCTCGTTGCTGTGCGCGCTAGGGAGGCTGTAGCAGCCGCTCCCATTAGCCAGAAGGTCGTTCAGCTCCTCCACCGAGATCTGGTAATCGGACATGGCCGGGCCCCCGCCGCTCCCCGCCGGCCAGCCAGACGGCTCCTTGGCGCCGCAGCTCGGCCTGGCCCGCTCCCGCCCCGCCCCGCCTGGCACCGGCCGCCGCCTGATAGGCGGAGTCGCGTCAGCTGGTTCTGTCGGCGACGCCCGGCAAGGTCGGGTCCGGAGCGGCGCGAAGGGCTGTGAGGGCTGCTCTGTGCGCCTCGCTGCTGCCGTCCGGCTGCCTTTGCCGCGCCGCGCGGCCGCGAGCGGTTCCGGACCCGCGCAGCGTGGAGGATGGACGCTGCGGGCCTCACCCTGAAGCTGGTTCTGGTCGGCGACAGCGCCGTGGGGAAGTCCAGGTGCTGGCCGCGGGGGCCGCGCGGGCGGGCCGCTCTTGACAGCGGGCTGAGTTCTCGGTTTCTTTCCCCACAGCCTCCTGCTGAGGTTCGCTGATGGTGCGTTTGAACCGTGCCAGAAACCCACCGTCGGTGAGTCCGGAATCCGCCCGCCCCCGAGCTTGGGGGCGTTTTCTCTTGTTTTCGTTTGGGTCCCATCGGCGAGGGGGAGCCGGGGTCGTGCGGGCGCCTGGCGGGCCGCGAGGAACCGGCTGCGAGGGTGGGCGTTAGCCCGTTCCTTCTGACAAGCCTCTCTTCTTATGCCTTAGGTGTTGATTTTAAAGTGAAGAAAATGGTTGTAGACGGCCACGCAGTACAGCTTGCAATATGGGTAGGTTTCGTTCCAGACAGATACGGATAGATTTTGCTCTCGACAGATAGGAAAATTTCAAGAGCTTATTTTTGTGTTTTGTTTTGTTCTCCGCCCCCCCCCCCCCCCCCCCCGCAGACCCTTGCTAAAGTATTCTGTATATTGAGACCGTGTACTATCAAATGCACGTAGAATGAGTGTCTGTCATGATCGTATAGCAGTAGTTGCTGACAGGGTTGTTTCGAAACACTGATAAAAGATTCGTTGCTCTGGGTTTGGGACTTCCTTCAGTTGTAGTAGGTATTTTGACTGCCCTTTCCTGCACTTACACAACCGGGTTTCTCAACCCGCCGTGAAGTTAGACTTGTGAAGATGTGGCCTTGCGGAAAAGGCAGGCATTTCATGCCCATATGACCCAGAAACACTCCTAGCACAGACAGCATTTAAGTCGAGTAAACTGCAGAAAAGTGATGTTCTGGGTGAAGAGTTGCGTGATTTCCTGTAGGGGCTGTTCAGCAGCTCTGTGTGTATATTATACCTGAAACAGGTGCTTTATTTTGGTTAAAATCATATGGAGGTGTGTGTGGGGAAATAAATATACTTGGTCCTGAGTGACTTAAAAATTAGCTCAGATTTACTGAGAGACTTGAGCATTTGTCCTGACTTCCTGATGCTGTATTCCCAGCACTTGCAACCTGGGAAATCGGATTGCAGCTGTGTCATCAGGATTATTTATAATATTAGAGCATCACATCTCTTCTCCTAAATGGCATGAAAGAGCCCTAGAAGGAAGAGATTTTATGTGTATGGTCATAGGTATTTGAGAAAGAACATGCCATTACTAAGTAACTAATGGGGACTATGGGAAAGAGAGCACAAATGTGCTTTGGGCTAGTATTAACAAAAGTAATAAAAATGCCAAAGCTTCAATTATTTTCTCGTTTTCATTCACAGTTTGTGTACAGAATGCAGAGCAAGTGTCAGAGTCGCACTTGCTCTAGCCAGTGAGCATATGTATTGGCTGTATTTTGAACGTGCTGCACATAAAGCAGAAGCTTTGCTGAGAGTAACCAAGATAACGTTTGCTCAAATAATCATGCAGGGGTGTGTCTCCTTGCTGTGAAATCAAAAGCAAGGCCAGAACTTGCACAAGTTGTATGTCTGGAAAAGGCACTTTTGCAGCAGTCTGTGCCATGGAGAAATTGCTAATTGGCGAAGAAAAAACAGTGCAGCTGTGCAATGTTAAATAAAAACTTTAATGCATGTACAGTGCATCAAGGTCAAAAAGAGGGTTCTGCTTTAGCATCGATGTGTGCAGGGATGCCCAAAAGTATTACTTCCCTAGTAACGATGACCCAAATTAAGTAAATATATTGCAAATCTTAGGGTTGTTTCTTTTTTTTTTTTTTTAGTGAAGAGGAAATAAATTACAACATAGCTGTTTGTCTGTTGTAATCTGCACGTAACTAAATAAATTATTTCTTAAAAATAATATTTGTGTAATTCTTTTTGCCTCCTTATTGTTTGTTCTGAGGGTTTTTGAATTTCATGTTGTGCATTGCAGTTATTTTGAAGATACGTGAGAATAAATGTGACATACCGCAGTATTAAACTACTCATTTAAAATTTCTTATCTGCTTAAAATCTTAGCAGACTTGAAGAAGTTCTTTCTAACAAGGTTCTCCTTTCCTGCTGTGCAAAGGGAGATGATTTTTTGGAACCACCGTGTCTCCTTTCCTGAAGTGTCTCTCACTGGAAAACCAGTTACTCTTCACCTCATTCAGTTCAGCTGATGGTTAACTGATTAAACCTAGCTGCTTGGCTTGCAGCAATAGGCTTTTATGTATTTCTTTTGAGTCCCGTTGACTCGCTTGTTGTTTCACTCATGTTACAGGTGTTTGTGCTTATTGCTTTAACCTTTGATCAAGTCCTCTCTGTGCTTTTCTCTCTCCTTGTTGCTGCTGCTGATGTTTTTCTGATTGCATCCCTCATTCTGTTGTCTTATGGTTTCACATATCCTTACTGGTCAGGAAAAATTTACCTTTGTTTATCTAGTGTAGTTTAAAATACCTTTTCTGTTCTAAATATATTTGATTTTGTGTGTGTGTTTTTTTTTTTTTTCTGTTTGTGTTTTTTCCTCCGTAGGACACAGCAGGACAGGAGCGCTTTAGAACGCTGACTCCCAGTTATTACCGAGGAGTTCAAGGGGTTGTTTTAGGTAGGAGGTATATGGAAGAAAAACATGGTTACAAAAAGGGTGGTTTTTATTACTACCTAAATGTGCATCTTTTTACAAAGGGAGGTTGTCTGAGAGAATCAGAGGAACTTACGGTTTTTAAAACATAACCGTGTCATTAGTTCAAGCACTGAGTAGCAAAACCACTGACAGATAATAAGGCTTCTTCAAAGTATTTTAAGTTAAACATACAGAGATGACACACTGCAAGCTGAGTGGATGAATTATTAGCTTTGTAGCAATTACTTCGGCGAGTTTCTGTTAATAAGGCAAGTTGGGTTTTGTGCTGTGTGGGTGGTTTGTTGTTGTTTGTTTTTTTTTTTTGTGGTTCCCCCCCGCCCCCCCCCCCCCCCCATGTTTTTACCTCTTTTTTTTTTTTTTTCCCAGAGACTGTTGATGTGATTGCTGTAAGACATGAGGTTTGTAGCACAAATAATAGATGGCTAGTTCACTTCTGTGTGACAACACCAATTAAAAAAAGAAGGGATTCTTACTCTCAGGGTTTGTGAAGACTGAACACTTTGCTGTACAAAATAATCTTTCTAACTATGATGCAGTTTTTTAAACCTGAGTGATTATGTGAATGCAGTTACGAAGTTACCAGTAACCAAAGATCACTTTGTACTCAGAATCTGTGTTTTTTAGCAGCAGTGCGTGTGTTAAGTACATTAAACGAGGTGACAAAATACCAATTTGAAAATATTCTGTGTGGCCTAATTTAGAACAGGAGTAAGGTTTCAGCTGCCAAGTTTGATTCCAGTCACAGATCTATTGTAGAGATGATAGTCTGCTGTAATCCCTAGTGACTTTGGGTGGGCACAGCAAATGTATTCCAGCGCTGGGAAGAGGATATATGGTTGATGCATCTTTCTGTAGTTCCCTAATGCTGCTTTTTTTTTTTTTTTTTTTTTCCAGGACAGTAGTTAGCTAGTAGGGACTAAGTTCTGCCATAATGAAGTAAACATTGTTCAAGACTCTACAGCTGTTAAGCTCCTTTTCCTCTGTTACCAGTGTATGATGTTACAAGAAAAGACACTTTCGCAGGACTAGAAAGCTGGCTGAATGAGCTGGAAATGTATACTACCAAAAGCAACACTGTGAAGATGTTACTTGGCAATAAAACCGATAAGGTCAGTTTAGAAATTACTCTTACACTCTTCCACAGATTACACAGTCATGAGAGAGTATAAATGTGGGAAGTGCTGAAACTGAGACCTCTCTTGTGCGAGGAGGTGATATGCTTTGTAACTGAGGAGCCTAGGCTGGTCAGGCTCAACTTAGTATGTCATTTTAGAAGCAGATCATGTTAAAGACTTTAATGGAGACTCCTGTAGAGATGCCACTGATGAGGGAGATTCCCTTCAGATAGGGTTCTGCCTACAAACTGTTGTATACCACTGAAGGTAACTGCAGCACAACAGTACAACTGTTGCTTTCTTTTTGACTAGACTGTGTTTTGGACAGGTGATGGGAAAGGAGAATTCAGCCTTTCAGATAGCTACAGAGTATGCCTCTGTGTGGGTGTGAGGTGCACTGGTTGCTGTATGTTTCTGGGGTGTCTCGACAAATCTTAGATGCCTTTTGCGTAGTGAGATGCTTCACTCTTGCTTTACTACAAGAGGTTTCCAGTGTGGCTATCCTGAACTAGGTTCTTTTCTGCCCCCTTTCAAATATGTCAATTTTCAGATCCTTTGATATGCCTCTTCAGCTATTTCACAATGGAAACCTGCTTTCTGGCATGTATCTTGCCCTAGTTGATTCAGAAGATAGCAACACATTAATTTTCTTGATGTTGCTACTCTTTGGTTTGACCCCCAACAGTCTGCTTAGAAGTAAGCTGTCTGTAGAGTGTGAAAATCCAGTTGCTGATTACTACATGGTTTTGTAGACTTTTTTCTTTTCAGCAAAACTTCACTTCTGCAGTGGTGCTTTTCCAGGGACTTTGTGAAAGTAGCAAGTGTAGCTTATTTTAGTCATGTTCTTCATCTCTGCAGCCTGATCGTGAAGTAGAGAGAAGAGAAGGACTCCAGTTTGCTAGGAAGCACTCACTGCTTTTTATAGGTATGTAACCCAGTGCCAAAATCTTGTGTATTCATGTGTTTGCTTTGGTATTGCTAAGCATGGATGAAGTGTACAATTGTATTTCAGGTTGATAGGTTGATTTACTTTTTTTTTAGTACCTAATTATCATAGAATACCAGGTTGGAAGGGACCTTAAGGATCATCTGGTCCAACCTTTCTTGGCAAAAGCACAGCCTAGACAAGATGGCCCATCACCCTGTCCAGCTGATTCTTTAAAGCGTACAGCGTTGCAGAATCTGCCATTCCCCCGGGGAGATTATTCCAGTGGCTGTTCTCAATGTGAAAAATTTTCCTCTTGTGTCCAGTCAGAATCTCCCCAGAAGTAACTTGTACCCATTACCCCTATGTCTTTTCCTTGCGAAAAGGGAGTCTGTCGTCTTCGTATCTACCCTTTAAATACTAGAAGACGGTGATAAGGTCTCCCCTAAGCCTTCTCTTCCCAAGGCTGAAAAAACTCGGTTTTCTCAGCCTTTCCTCACATGGCAGGCTTCTCAGTCCTTTGATTGTCTTTGTGGCCCTTCTCTGGACCCTTTCCAGCCTGTCCACAGCCTTCTATAGCAGGGACCAAAACTGAACACAGTATTGCAGGTGTGGCCCGACAAGGGCCTAGTAGGTAACTTCTTTATCTCTGCTGGTGATGCTTTGGTTGATGCACCCTGTTGGCTCTCTCTGCTGCAGCAGCACACTGTTCACTTGTATTGAGCCTGTTGTCTACCAGGACCCCTGGGTCCCTCTTCACAGAGCTGTTCTTCAGCCAGGTAGATCCTAGTCTGTGCTGCGCTCCTGGATGATGTTTTCCCAGGTGCAAGACCTTACGCTTGTCCATGCTGAACTTCATAAGGTTCTTGTTAGCCCACTCTTCCTGCCTATCCAGGTTTTCCTGCAGGGTGGCTCTCCCCTCTGAAGTGTCCACTTCCCCAATCAGTTTGGTGTTATCAGCAAACTTCATCAGGGTACGCTTGATCCCATCATCCTGGTCACTTATGAAGATACTAAACAGCATCAGACCCAATATCAAGCCCCAGGGGAGACCTCACTTGTGACAGGTTGCCAGTTCAAAAAAGAGCTTTTCCTTTTGCTGCAGTAGTTCATATGCATGGATGTAGACTTTTTTTTCAGAGATGCTGGGTATTGACTGAAATTGGAAGTACATTTTTCTGAAAGAGATTTACTTCGTATACTGTGTAGGCATGAATTTAACATTCTCTTGAAACTAGCAGGATTTTTTTTAATTCAGAGCCCAGAAGACTAGAATTTTTCTTCTGACTGATGTCAATAAGGACCTTAGGTAATCTTTTTCATTTCCAAGTTTCTGTTGCAACTACACAGAAGACAATATTCTTAGACCAACAACAAAATGTACGATGTGGAGTGATAAGAATATGAAACAACTTGTGTGGGGTTTTTTGTGGTGGTGGTGTGTTTTGGTGTGTTTTTTTTTTTTTTTTTTTTAAAAAAAGTACCTTTTAAATGAAGCTTCTTGAAAAGTTCTCCAGAAGTAACTGGGACACACAGGGAAAACATGTAATTTCCTCTGCATTCTTTGTTTCCCAGCATAGTTATGGAATAATTATCTTTAGACTTACTATCACAACCCAAAACCAATATCTGTTTCTCCATTATGGAGACAATGGGAAGATCTGGAATTTTTTAGATGGAAGAATGAGATGCTTCAGACTGGGATGCATTTCTGTTTATGATATCTAAATTAAGTGTGCCTTTAAGGGACAATGGAGAGGAGGTTCGCTCAGTTAAAAAAAATGTATATTTTCTGTGGTCCCAAAAGAACTTCTTACAAAGTAGAATATTCCCTGCAAATAAGATAAATACTTTGCTTCCCCTACCTCTTTCTTCCTCTTCTGCTAGAGACCAGTGCCAAGACACAGGATGGAGTGCAACATGCCTTTGAGGAACTAGTCATAAAGATCCTGCAGACACCAGGTCTTTGGGATAAAAACGCAGAGAAGCGGGGAGTCCAGCTAATGGAACCTTCAGCACAGCAGAATAAAAACTTATGTGGTGCATACTGTCCACTTACTTAAATGTACAGGTGGCTGTTGTCTGAATGGAGTAGACTACTTTTTTTTTTTTTTTTTTAAAAAAGGGGGTGGGGTGGATTCCAAGCACTAGTCTGTGCCTCCTTTGACCTGCCATCAGTCGTGTAGATCCAAAACCCAAACTGATTAGCAAAATACATTTTTGATCATTAACAAAATACAATTTCTCCTTCCCTTATGCACAACTGATATGTCCAGATATTTTTCTGGTAACTGTCAGATTTTTCACTATTAAATCACAGTGCTTCTTAGAGACTTGTACTCTTGCGGTATGGCATTCAACATGGACCTTGTCTGAAATTCCTGTGTTAGCATAAAGTAAGATAGCACTCCATTTTGGATTATTACTGAAGAGTGTCTCTTCCCCAGAATGGCATGGGAGTCTTAAGCATCCAAGGGCAAATGTAGTTAACGGTCAGGAGTCACCCTGAGCAGTGAGGTCGTTTCCCTATTTCAGATGGGTTTAAGCAGTCAAAATGGCTATATGTCACCAGAGAGTAAGTTTAGTGACTACTTGATTTTGAGGGTCGTAGCGAAGAGGCATATCTGTTAACATTTGGCAGGAAAAAAAAACCACAACACTTTGTGCCACACATTGTAGGTTACCCCTTGCTGCTCTGAAGTACTTTGTACTGAGGATCAGTGGCGAAATGGAGTCATCATTTTGAGTTGGTTTACATGGTAGGTCCTTTTTGCAGTTAATGGGGCTCTGCAACCCCATGCTCCTGCCCTCATCCAGCAATTGCAGGGCTAAAACTAAGTTTAATATAAGATATGCTGATTATGGAAGATTTTCCACTAGGATGCGTCTGTTTATTGCCGATTCAATTATGAAGTTCTGTAGGATAACTGCCTCTTTTTGCCTTTTGTCCCCCCACTGAACTCCCTGCCTTTTCTTGAAAACAGAGTCATGGAAGATACTAGCCTAGACTCTCATCTTCGTAGCAATACCTCTGGAAGACTTCCAGTTGGCTGCCGTGTTGAATGTTGGCAAAACTGCTTAGCTGCTCTGTACTGCAGTTAGTATCTGCCTGCCTTAGAAGGCCTCACTTTTAAGAATGACAGATTTTTTTCAGGAATAATTGAACAGCTGGCAACCCTTTTAAAAGTAACACCAGCTTCCCTTGCATCGTGCTTCAGTTTGCTGCAAATGCAATCCTACCAAGTGAATGCTGCTTCTGTTGTGTTTGGGGGGAGGAGAAAACCCAGAACCAAAATCTACCTTGAGTAATTTATGAATTTTTGTTGTTGGTTTTGTTTATAGTAATAATTTTTGAGGGAAGTGAGCTAAACTAATGAGTCCTTCATTCAGCTTTTAACATAGTCAGGTCTGGAAGTAGTAATGTAAGTATATACACGCATTCCTACTAGAAGCTACAAGAAATGTGTTGTCAGGTCCAGATTTGCAAAATGAAATGTAAAATTGAGTATTTAGGTCTGAGTTGAACTAATCCTGTTATGGAATGCTTATATGCACTGAAAAAGGTATCATCTGATTGTCTAACTTTGCCTTTTTAACCTCAAATATCAAGAAAAATTAACTATATTACAAATTTGCCTGTCGGTATCGCTGGAAGTTATCATAGATACTCTTGCTATAACATCAGAATCTAGTCCATGCCACGGTGGAAGTCCTGTGAACTGGAACAAATTACTCTGGCAAAGATGGGCGCTGCACAGTACTTAGCCTATTCAGTTGCAGTTGCAAATTGTGAACAAAGAGTTGCAATAAAGAAAAATCTATGTGGTGGTGATTATGTCATTTGCAAGAACAAGCTAGAGTTTGCTACGCATTTATAAAATTACTGCACCCCTACACTTCAGTCAGGAATTTTGGTTTATTTTTTTAACATGGTGTTGGGGGTGTATTTACTGAAAAATTGTTTATAAGCATCTTAAACGATTTGAACTACGAATTGAATAAAGTAAGAGAAACAGGAACTGCTATCAGTAGGAAGCACTGCAGAGATCCTGTTGGGAAGTTCCAGTCCTCCTTCTCCCTAGATGTTTTAAAGCAGTAGCTAGTTAATACCAACATAAGTGGACTTGTTGAATTACTATATTTTCAAATTAATTCGACTTCTGGCGAAGCTTGAGCTAAAATAAGTGAAGATTTTGATCCAGGTTCATGCATTTGTGAACAGAAACCCCCTTAAACAGTATTGCAGTTCACTTACTGTAAGTTGAGGCACAGTATGACTAGTTTGGCACATAAATAGGAAAATATTAATGAACTGTGGCTAGGTAGCTCTCAAAGGAGAGTTACTTCCCTTCCTGGCTCTGCAAGTCTGAAACATTCCTATTTCTACTGCTTTTACAAAGCAATGCAGAGTTGTGGTGCTCTCCCAAGCAAAAGCTGTTTCGGGGTTTGTTGGGGGATGCTGACAGACAGAAAGCTAGGTGAAGGAATTTGAGGCTGGATAACTTTGTAAGACTTGCTTTCACTTAAGGCTTCCCCCCACCTTAAGCAAGATCTCATGTGGATAGTAAACCTTTGCATGTACCCACCCAGCATTTTGACCCGGGAAAGATTTAGGTAATGGTATCCCTAAGTCTGTGTCATGACAATCCCCCCGATGGTAGGGAAGTCTTCAGATAAATGTGGAGCAGGGGGCTTTCTTTAGCCTTTGGGTTACCAAATGAAAGTAATGATGGAAAGGGTAAGGACAAGAAAAAAGAAAACTCACTGTGTTTCTGTGTTATTGTCTTAATGGTTTGTTTATATGCATCTATAAATGGGGGTGCTGGGAGAAGGAAAACAAGGAAGTAGTGACAAAGAAGAGCAAGAGAACATGGTGACTTTGCATGTGACAGAGCAGAAATGAGGAGAAGGTGGTGGTTTTTAAATATATACATGAGCAATGAATATGGCAACATAACAACTGAGAGGTAGCACAGTAAAGATACTTATTAGAATGATATTACAAACTTATTATCTCTCGCACAAAAGGATCAAAAGTGAATCGGCCAGATTGAAAGAGATACTAAGCAGCTCTTGGAAAGGCTAGCTGAGGTACAACAAAGGACAGGGAGAGTGGACTGTTGGAATGGACACTTTCAGAAGAGGTAGCTGCTTCCATTTGTTCCAGGGGGCAGGCACGTGTGTGTATGTAGAAATGAAGAGTGTTGCATAATATTATGGGATGGATCCATAGTTTACAAAAGTAGACCTATAGCTGCCAGCCTTTTACTTCCACTCATAATACTTCTGAAAAGCTGCATCACCCCACACAATTACATCCCCAGAAGGGCTCCTGTTGGAAGAATGCTTGATGAAACATTCCAGCTTCAGAAGGGGCCACCGATTATAGAGCGAGCTAAATTAGCACCTACTAGGTGGCGGTACCTTCCTCCCTCATCTCCTGAAGAGTTAAGTGCCTCTTGAGAGTTACATTCTGCTCTTATTTTTAGAATTCAACTGCATTTTTATCCTGGAGCTCTATGTATCCCCATCTGCTATAGCATCCTTACAGAGTTCTGCCTTCAGTCCATTCCGTAGACAAAATTTGTTTCATACACACATGCACAAACGCTCAAGTGACCCACTTTTTGTAGATTTCAACCCTTTTTCATTGTGTATAAAATGTGTCTACTGAAATGCTTTTATGTTGCATTCTTTCTTCCAGAGTTTCCACTAGTCACTGTCATTTTGTGCAAATTTATGCCGCCTATCCTCTACCATCCAGACATGGAAACGTTGATCCTTGCTAGAGCGTTGACTGCATCTTTCTCTAGCTATCATCCTGTTGTTTTTTTTTTTTTTTTTTTCTTTCTTCAACCTCAGTCCTAAAGTATTTTTCGGAATTGCCCTAATGCATGGACTGCAACTCCAAACTTGCTTTGTCATTGTGATTTTCACCACACCTGATTAACTTTACAACCAGCCATCCAAGGCAAGCCAGCGAGGTGATTTTTAGTTGTGTATTTGCACTGAAAGAGCCTGCACAGAAGCCATGTGTTTTTTCCCTTATAACTGAAGCTCATCTTAGCTATCTGCAAATGTCAGCATATAACATATAGCCTCTCGGCATCTTTTATTCTGAACCTAAAAAAAAATGAACCCAATGTTTTTGACAGCATTCCAAGTTAGTATCTGTGACTGTACATCAATACAGAGTATCTGCATACACCTAAGATTAACTCATACTGAGTATTTCAGTTCACTTCTAATTGCAATGTTGTGTCTAAGATATTAAGTCTTCAGTTATTGTAACTTCAGGTGTACCTCTGTGTCATTTACCTTGCTTCTCTTTCTTAATGCGTATTTTTACTGTTAGACTATGTTAGATCATAAAGCTTATACGTTAATTTATTTACTGCTAGTCATTTAGAATATTCTAAGATGTTAGATAGCAACCTTGTTTTAAGTGAAATCTGACCCGTAGGTAATATCTTACCTAGTTTTCTTTAAATTAGATCTGTATTCTCTAAGCATGCTTATGTCTTGCATACTACAAAAACCTCCTTGCGAGCTGCAGTATAGATCTGTGGGGAGATCAAGTCTGCCCAGTTCATATTGTCAGAAGATGACTTAGTTTGAAATGCTGTTTAAAGTATTACACTCAGTTTTTCATGGGATGAATATATATGTCACAAAATTCACTTGGCTATGTGTCTCTCTTGTAAGCCACATTACTTTTGGTGGCTGTGCTGGGACAATAGTGTAGAGAGTTAGTGGCAGAGCTGATGGGCCACCTGAGTGTGAAGGAATCCTTGTACATTTGCTGAAGCCACCAGTCTGGCAGCATATCTGCTCTGACAAGCCAGAGCCTGACTCTTGAAAAGTGCTTATTCTTGTCGGAATCGTAACCTCACTGCCTATAGGCAGGATAATACATGAAAGTTGTCAGGGTACACAGGTTTGGAGAAGGTGGATACAGGTGACTGTTCTACATAGCTTGGGCTAGAGTTAATGCAGATTCAATGACACTGGTATATAAGAAATGCACTTTTAATATAGAACATTGACGTTTTGCTAAATGCAGTGGAACAAGAACAACATCATGCTGTTAAATGCCAGGAATGAGACTGGTGCACCAAAAGGTCATGTTAAAGGGCACAATACACAGGAAAGATTAGATCTCAGCAGGCACTGGAAAACAGGAACTAGTTTCAGCTAACATGCACCTGTACAAGTCATACATTTTTTCAAATAATTACAAAGCATAGGTGCTTCCAGAATCATATCTGCCTTTTCTTATTAACATCCATCTAAAAATCCTGTGTAACCAAGTCTCTTGAAATACGTACAGAGTCCTCTAACAGTTACGATTCCTGCTTCAGGACTTGATGTAGCCAGTTAGATGCTCTGGAAGCCTTTACCCAATTTGGAACAAAGGTAGTCATAAATGCTGGAAGGATGATGATTTATACCTGTAGCTCAGCTACCCATTACTTCAGCCTCTACCTTTTAGCACCCTTTTCAGAGCCACTAGGTTGGTGTCAAGGTGGGATCCCATCACGTGGCATTGGCAAAGAGGTCTTGTAGAAAATAACCTTCTTAGAAGTCCTATTTTTAAGTCATATGCAGTTATTTTCATGTAAAGTTTCTCAGGTTTATGAGCTGGCTAGTCACACAGCTGTGTTCAGAGGTTGTTTAACATTTGCCCTGTGGCAGTAGGAAGAGATTGGGAAAGCGGGCATAAGCTATGGATGAGCAGACTAATACCTGTGGCCAGACAACATCGAGGCATTGGGAAACGGGAGATGGACATAAAAAAAATCCCCATCTCCCAGCCACTAAAATATCTGCAACTTAATGTAACTGGCCTAGTTTTAGTGCCCGATTGGAAAGGATTTGCTGCGAATGGTCCTGAGTGAAGGGAAACATGTTTTGCTGGCTTGAGTGCCAGCTGAACATTTGAGTAACTGACATGGTGTAAGCACTCTCCCAAGGACACCCCCCCTCACCTAGCGGAAGTAGCTTGTGCTGTAGGCTTACTGGTTCCTGAAAAGTACTTTGTTCAGATGCCACAAAATTTGTGGGCAAAGAATGAAAATTCCAGCTGGTTAGTGTCCTAGCACTACTTAAATGCTCCGGAGGTATGGGACCCTCTGTGAAACTTCACTGTACAGAATGTACTATTTACAGTCTAAAAGTCACTCCAATCTTTTACTGATAGATTTAATCTGAGTATTCACATTTGAATGACAGCTGCTATTCAAGATTTTGATTCTGGAAGGCAGTGTCGGCTTCTGACTTTGTTTAGTTTCTCTCATAGTCTTTATGTATTTTACCTTCTAGATAGATGAGCAGTTTTGAAGTGAATTTGACATACTTCCTTTTCCTAATCCATATATTTACAAGGCATTTTTATGCAATCTTTCCCTTAAACAGATGATAACAAACTATGACCTAACCCAGTTGACCGGCACCCAAAATGAATCCTTGTCTAGTTTCTCTAACACAGTTTTCAGTTGATTACATGCACTCTGGAGATCTTCTTTCACCAGTACAGTGTCAATTAAATGGCCATACTGCTCTTCAATGAATGCTGCTGAATTAATAATTTCTTGCTGTTCTTCGTCCTGCTGATCAACACAAGAGGATGGTATGAAATTTACAGCATGTCTTTTTAATTGCTAGCATTTTCAAGTATTTTACCACAGTAAGTCATTACTTTGAAAGGAAATTGAACAAGAGCTGCTACCACTGGGAAAAGGTATATAAGATATTACAGCTGAGATCAAGGAGCAGTATGCTACTGCTGGAATTTGGTAGGCTGTTTCAAAAATGCAAGAGGTGATGGTGAGGGGGAAAAAACATTTTACAGGAGGGACGTAAGATGGTGACACTGCATTTTGTGAGGTTAGTCACTGCCTAAACTTACAGCTGGAAATCATACTCCTCAAAAGCTGAAAAGGAATGCTGGTCCCACTGTCCCCCAGCTCAGTAATTTTAAGGGCTTATATGAAAACTGTCTAAGTGAACTATGTTCTGTTTCCTATAAATTCAGGTTCAGGTTACCCAGAGTAATGACATTATGCACTCTATTTCCGGTCACGTTTACACATCACCGGATTGCAGTTGGTCTAGGTTTGGTCTTGGTAAGACATCCACATGATACATTTTGTGTGTACCCGCTTGACAGCCTGCGTGGGTGTCACTCTGGAGGTATCAGAAAAAGGTGGCTACCTTTATCATTTGCTGGGGCTGCTCATCATAAATGTATTAGTTTATCTGAATTCAGCAGCAGCTTCCCCTGCTGCAGCCTTGAGTGATGTACAGGGATCCACAAGGAAGACAAAAACGTGCACTTTGGTTGATGTTACTTATATAGTAAAGTTTTAAGGGAGTCAAAAATCTCATGCTAAAGTTCCAGCTGAAAGGCTCTATGTGCACAGGACCCACTTAGCGCCCCACTCTGACTCCTGCTGTCATGAAAAAGGAGTTCTTTTGTATCATAGAAATGCTAGCCCAAATACTTCTTTCTTACCTAAAAAGAAGAGATTAAAGTTAGAATACTTACAAGGGGGGCTGAGATTTCTTCTGACAGGGGAGATTTTAGGACATGTTTTTTCTTTTCTGGAATGAGAGGCTTCACAAAGATAACATAAGGCTTAAACTCTGGAGTCCTCAAGTGCTTTACTGCCTGTGAACAGATATTTTATTGCACCATTTAAAATTTTTTTGTTGTTGTTGTATGTCAGCAATCTATCTACTCAAATTGGATTCAACAGTTTTACTAGCACACACTGTGGTGTGAAGTCCTGTGTACAATACAGCTGACCACAGTAACCTTTTGCTCTTCAAAAGGAAGATTAATGGCAGTGTCCTGGCTAGCTTACAAGAGTCCATAAGCTTCCTGGAGCATGGTCTAACTGCATACCTGCCTTGCTGTGCGCTGTGATACCAGCAACAAGGACATGGTGAAAGATACAGAGAAAAGCATAAAAAAAACCCCTGACTGACAGGCAAGTTATGGTTTGCTTTGCTTAAGAGGCCAAAGACTGGAAATTTTAAGCCTGGAACTCATCTGAGGTAGTATTACAAGTCTTCTCCTAGCCCAGTTACAAAATCTGAATCAAAATTTCAAAGATTAACTCCCACTGTGGAGGGATTAAGAGCAGGTATACTGGCACCGATTACAACGCTACTAATGCTTAAGCGGCAATAGGAAGGAACAAGAATGAAAAACCCATCCACATGCTCGAAGTATTCTCTCTACGCCTTAATCAAGCTAGGACAGTGATGCACATTTCTCCTACAGCAAGGGAAAAATCCCACAGTGAGAACTGATAGAGTGACATCTAGGCTGTATCAACTAGACATCTTCTAGGGACTGTAAAAACTGCACTGCTTTCTAAAGAGCCCTATTCTGCTTAGCTAGCAGTCGTGCCACCTCTTAGCACTGTTGTTTCTAAGAGCAGCATTGTGTTTTGCAGGGCAAGTAGCCACGAACAGTGAACAACATCAGTTACTTAGGCTGGCAGCCTAGTACGAAACGCTTGCTATAAAATAAGCTGTAGAACTTACTTCAGGTACCACATCCACCAAACAAACCTTCTTTTTGGCCATCACAGACCGGATTGCCTCAAGACTTGTACCATACAGATTTTCTTTGTATTCTCCATGTTCCACAAATCTAAAAAGTCAATACATTTTTAAATACCATCCACAAAGAATATTTAATTTACAGGATCTGATAGCTGTTTGCTCAAGTCAAAGTAGTCAAATGGGGAGGGGGGCGAGAAGAAAGGGTTTCTTTTTTCTGATTACTTTTTTCCTTCTGGCTGCTTAGTAGCAATAGTCTTTTTCACATGTCACTAATGGCTAATCAGCACTACTGACAAATAGGGGAGGAAGCTGCATGAATTCAGCTGACTGGTATCCAAGCCTGACAGAAGAAAGAGGATGTTTTTCCAGAAAACAGAACAAAGGTGGCAAGGAAATGGACTCAAATTCTTCCATCTTCTGGATGGAGACTGGCCATAAGTCTGTACTTTCAGGACACACACTCGATCTTACAGAAAATCCTTTATATCCGAAGATTCAGTCTGCAACACACTTTAAAGTGGACTTATCGATGGAACTTGTTACCCATCATATTGAATGAAGAATAAGTAGGCCCGCCTAAATATCTGTTACTTTCACTAGATTAAATTCTGACCAGTCATACTACTTATGATATGCAGGCTTAAATTCTAACTTATGATCCTCTTACTAGTCCTGTGTCGTTTCTGAATTGCTTCTTATCAAACTTCTGAGTTCATGCTAACAGTCCAGACTGAATAAAGAGCTTTTTACTTGGAAAGCTGAACCCTTCTAATACAGCTAGTCCAACTTCACTCCTGGGTTTTGGTATTCATATGATCTAAGGTTTCACTAGCAGTATTTTTAAACGACAGTCAATTATGCTGGTATCTTAAAATTAACTCACTTGTTTTGCTGCACATCTGTCTCAAATGATTGCTTAGAGACAAAATTGTATTCTACTCCCTCTTTCTCGTGACTTTTCTTTGACCTGGTTGTATCTAGAAGAGGATGGAAGCAAGACACAGGATACAGATCAACCTTTGCAAACAACTCTATTTTCTCTGTTTAGTTCCAGTCACATTGTCATTACCGCAAACAAGGTAGTTACACACTGGCAAATTCAAATTAACACAAAATATAAATCAAACATTATAACTTTGTTTTAAACTCAATCATCTCAAAAATTGTAAGACCAAAAATGAAGTTGTTTTGTTCCCAAGCGTGCTGTAACTAGCACAAAGATTAGGAGGCGCACTTCTCCCACCTGACAGAACCAGTCGAGTACATCCTATGGAAAACTCTCTCTTAACTGTTTGGAATACTAGACTAATTTTCTTTGAAACTTAGAAAATAAAAATAGGAAATATC